TCAATCTTACGCAAACTTGGGCTATAACTACGCTTATAGTAATTCCTAAAAAAATATTTTTGATAATTAAAATAATGGCTAAACTATATTACAAGTCATTGTATTATTAGTAATTTTAAAATTGAGTCATTGTATTTAAAATAATAATAAAATCACTCAGTTAATCGATTGTTATAATCAAGTCATTGTACCATTATATCTCAAACATACAATAATTTCATTTATGTTTTGGTCACTCAGGTTGAGTAAGCTTGCAGTTATATTCAGGTAAACTACATAATCGATTACTGACAAAGACCAGTGAAAGTATGCATATTTGATTTACATTACATATAGTTTCTATGATACACTTCATGACTGAACTATTTCATTTAATTGTGTTTGTATATGTGGTCATCGATGAGTCTAATCATGATTGATACAACTAAGACTGCTTTGATCCTATATGAATATAATTGATGAACGAGATTTTTATATAATACTTATTATGTGATAGTAAATTTTAAGCTCATAAGATTGTACATTAGTTAAGAGACATATATTGTCTAAGTGAAAATTTGTTAGATTAAAATCTAGAAAATAAAACAAAAAAAATTAACAGAAAACTAAAAAAATGAATAAATAAAAGAATTTTAAGCTCATAAGATTGTACATTAGTTAAGAGACATATATTGTCTAAGTGAAAAATTGTTAGATTAAAATCTAGAAAATAAAACAAAAAAAATTAACAGAAAACTAAAAAAATGAATAAAATAATTTTCATCTATAGAGTTAGCAACTTCTTGTATGCATGTATATTCAGAATTGGCGCAGCTGACTGGAATTGCAGCAATCCTCTGTTTCCCTCTTACGGATCTGGATGACATTGAAATGTAACGCAGCAGCAAGAGCATACAAATCGAGTTTAATTTATTATATTCAGCATTTTGAACTGTATCATATTCACATATGTTAACCGTAAAATTTATGTTTATTTGAAATTATTTTTTCAAAACTAATTTTACAGTTAACATATCCATATTTGAAAATTTAACTAGTTTACTTGTGTGCATATAGGTTGTAATTGTATTCATACAGTTAAATCGGCACATTTTAAAAATACTTCCTTGACTCACTTGGTGGGTTCTGGTTCCTAGCAACTTCTAAACTAATTTCAAACAGATTAAGATCATTTCTCTCCTGCTGGAGCATGTGAATTTGAATAGGAATCCCTTGTACGGTCTTAAACTGCCCATACATACATATATACGTATTGGAATATATCCATACACTTGTATTATTTCAATAATAACCACTACTTTTAACTTTTGTTCTTATTTATTGAACAACATATAATACGCTTAAACGCAAAAATGACGGGCAAAATCGATACAAACCAAGTGATAAGAGATTCCATCGTCTTGTCTTCCCTGTAAAGAGTATATGATAAACAACGTGTTGGAAATATATGCAACCTGACCTATGTTAAACCTAATTTTTCATTTTCTTTTAAATTATCTGTGTCCAATACATTAAACATTCAGTATTCCAAAGAACGTCCAAAATGTTGAGCATGCATCAAATACATTCTCTTTAATATCCAACATTCATTTTGAATCAAGGTAAAATAGATTTTAGCAATTTGGAAGCCACCAAGTATATGGTTTGAAATATGGAATCGAAAGAACTTTTTAAAGCTTCATACTGAATTTAGAAAGTAAAATCCACGACAACAAAATGATGGCAAGTTATATGAGTTTCTTTGAGAAGCAGCAAAAGCAACCACTGATAGCAACTTGCCTAGACAATCCGCTCCAACTCCCTAGCATAGCTAAGAGTTTGGTTAATCAGCTGTAGGGATGGGATCTCCTTACATGGTGTAGATTCTTTGGCCTTCTGAAAGAAGACGGATCCATTCTTCACCTCCCACTCAGGATGCTCCTGCAATCATGGGGTACAGGTCCAAATAAGCTTTGTTTTCCAAAGCCCTTGAGAAAAAAAATCATTTTTAATAGACATTATGGATGTTACTAGAATGCTTACCTCTTTCACATATTCCAAGAGTTCTTGATCAGAGGAGAAAAGTAACATTTGGCTGGCATCGTTAATTGAAAGAAAGTCATACGCCTTCTCACTGCATCCAGCTATTTCATCTCTGAAAATGACAAGTTATGAATTAACTAATGACATTGAGCAATAAACAAGAATACAACATAGAGCAGATTACTAAAACATGGAAGCACCAACAGTACAAAACTTTCTGATGGTGACAGCATGTGGTACGATAAGCGCTATGTTATGAAGTCATTTAATGAGCTTTTGAACTAAAATAGTTGCAAATACATCCGTGATTTAAAAGAAGTTTGCCGTGTCTTAATACTGTTCTCCTCCAAATTATCATCATACACAAAAGAGTATTGCTTACCTCACTGTTTTTGCCAAGAGATCCATGAAGTAAACATAAGTTTCATGTGGAGCAGTCTGTCTAGCACTCAAGACACGATTGTAAGCCCCTTCCATAAATGATTGCTCCAGCTCCACAGCATGTTTGATGCAAGGATTCTCCAAAGCAGTGGCTGAAAGCAGTTCCAGTTCTGTATGGAACTCAGCAATTCTGTTCTGGACAAGAAGTCTCAAGAGATTAAGACCTAGGATCAGGTACTCTTGCTGAGATGGTGGAAGACGGTTCCTGCTCCATCAAGAGAAAAGTAAAACACTAATCATCATTTCCGTAAAATAAATGATAGAGGCTTCTACATAAGAAAAGAGTACACACATTGGAAGGAGTGGTAATTTTCTTATATTAAGCCAAGAGTTAAACAAATCCAATACCAACATGCTCATACAAATACAATACAAGATACAAAATCAATTTTAATTTATTTATGTATTAGAAGCCTTACAGCATGTATGTGTGTGAGTGCACATACACCTTGTAACTTGATTTTCTAATTAGATGAATTGCTATCCATATTTTATTATTGGTTATGCAGAGCTTTATAGAATGCAACTATGTCTAGAAAGAAAAACATAATTCCCAAACTAAAGAGCAAAACCCTGAAAAACAAGCAACTGACCCAGCATCTGTATAATAGGGCTTCAACTGGAAAAAGTCCCTCTCAAAGGCATCTTGATCCTCAATCGTAACACTGAGGACAACAGCATGTTCATAAATTTCTCCTGAAATTGTCAGTGAAAGGAAAAGGATAATTAAAGAACTGATTATTAGTAATCTTCAGACAAGCAGACTCAAATTATGTTCTACATTCAAATGGGTTAAAAAAATTCATCTACAAGCCACACACATTCAAATTTTAACTGTTGGTGTAACTCTTCATTTTTTTTCTTGAAGAGCACATCTATAACGCATGTCCAGACATGGGTAGGACTTAGGAGGATATGACCCTCCAATAACTCTCTAAATACATGGAAAAAAACTTGGAAAATATCAAACACAAATCTGTATTCCTTACACATCAATCCAAGTAACATATATTTAACTACATCCATGATCCATGCACCAGAAAGGAAGCTTAGAAATCCCACAAAAAACAGCAAACTTTTGTATGTTCCTAATCATATTTTAGTCAAGGTTCCATAGAAGTCCTCACTATTCAGGAAGTACTTCAACGGCCTTTTTAAGAAACAAATTTATATCTAATCATTACAAAATGAAGCTTCATCTAATAAGTTACAATAGGTGTAGCGTTGGGGTCTTCTTCATAAGGCATCCTTCAAAACATGTTGATGGACCAACATAGAAATGCAATAGAAATGACAGAAAGAAAAAAAGAGTTGAGTCATAAGAATTACTTGCTAACAGCAGTTCATTAACCGCATTAGTTGTACTTTCAAACAAAGGAGGAAGGCTCCTAAACTTTGTGAGCAACACCTGCAATAACAAACCGAAATTACTTGAGCATCATTTCGATATAGAACTAGTTAAAAAAATACTACCTACTAAAAAAAAGATTATTCATTTTCCCATTTCTCTCGTTCTAGCACATCAATTTCAATCCAAATTCCAAGCTCAAAGACGGATAATTCATAAACGAAAAATCCAACGCAAAACCCCTAAATTGCTAAACCCTAAAAGATCAAGCCTCCAAAGAAACTAACAATCTACAACATGGGATCTATCATTTCAAGAGAAAAGAAACGCAGAAACCCTAGAATTTGTACCCGAAGAGAGAAAGAGGAGGAATTAGGGTTTGAAAAAACCTTGAGTTGAGAAAGGAAATTGGTGCAGGTATCGAAATCTTTTCTAACAAGTGCAGCTTTGAATCGCTCGAACAGCTGCGAAACTTCCGTTAGCTGTGGATCCATTTCACTTCCTCTCGCTAGCTTTCGTGTTGCCGAATCAATGGAAAATTCCTTTTTCTTTTCTTTCTATTTTCACTTCCACGCAACACCCAACAGCCGAATAATATACATATCTATATAAGAGAAAATGAAGGTCCCTTTTATTGGGTTTTCCTGCTGGATTGGCCAATCCTATTGGGTTGGGCCGCTAATAAAATTATTGAATTTGAATCATGTAGTCGGTACGTTCCAATACCAATAGGTATCTTCTCCATCTTTAATCATTAATCAGTTTTATTTTCGAATCTATCAAATAATCTTAGTAGTTAAGGAAATTTTTTTCTTTCTAAAAGCCTAGAATTCAGACAACAACCTTTATAATTCATTATCAATTTATTGAGAGAATTCTGAGCAGATGCCAATCTAATAAAAAAATATTTCCATTAAAATTTTGATGTTTTTCACATATTTCAGTGTATTGTTCATCGTCTAACAGTTTAGGACAACTCTCTTTCAAGGCGACAACGATGGTTCGACTTCCTCTAGAGGTAGGTTCTGCGAAAGGAAGTTGACAATGAATTATCAATAAACCTAGAATTTATACTTCCTGAGTCGAAATCCGAGCGATAAATGGAGATGGACTTTAAAGTTATTGGCAATATACTCGACCCAATAATTCGTTGATCTACAATAACATGAGATTGTTGTTAAATCGTTAAAGCTTGGAAGGTACGGAAATATGCATTTGAGGGCATGGTTCATCCAAAGAATGTAGCCATGATTTTTGGGAAATGTAATTTACAGTTGTAGCAACAGTGCGATGAAGAGGTTAGAAATGCACAGAGCAATTAGTTCAGAAAGAAATCCCGGGGAGCTCGATTTCCTCCGCAATCACCCTCGGCAGCTTTTGAAGTAGTCGTTGCTGTTCAGATGGTTTCTTCAGCATTTCTCTTTCATCTAGAAATCGTTCCAACGTATAGAACCAGTTAAGGTAAAACCAGCAAGGTTCCATTAAACAACTTTTTAATTACGAAACCAATTTAGTAACTTCAAAGGATATATGTATCTCCTTCCCTTCTCATGCGCAAATGCAATTTTACTCTGCAGTCGGACCAATTCTCGTTGAATCCACTGCCAACAATATTCCAGAGACAGACAATTAGAGAAATCCACCATGGATACAGATTATATCATCAATGTAGAATAATTTCATATACATACATTCTTTGTTATATCTTCATGCAGACTTGTAGCCTTTAGGTCGAGCTCCACCTGTCAACGAAAATGTTCGGGTTAAGCTTCTTAATAGCCTTTCTCTACTTTGTTAATCTCTCTTCAACTTTTATCAAAAATTGTAAAATGGCAAAGCTTCAATGCACAAACATGTTTTAAGGAAACAAGATCAAATTGCAAAGCCAATAAGCTTCAAGTTACAAAACAAAATTCTACGATCACTTCAACACTCGGCAAAAGAGCAAGTCCTCAAGTCAAATTGAATTGATTTTTCATAGTTACCTCAGCACAAAAAGAAATATTTCATTAGGTTTTTGATTTTTTAAGCAATTATAAATCCCTTACACCAATTGTTTTTTGGGTAAAGTATACAACTGGTCCCCCGACTACAAGATATTGTTTTGTTGAGTTCCCCGACTATTAAAAGTTACAAAATGATCACCCTTCCATACTCGTCCTTTTCCGTTAAAAAATTAATAGTCGTCTGAACTGGAATTTAACATGCTGACTGATATAGGATAGTCAATTGAGATTATGCGATCATATTTTACATATCTCAGTCAGCAGGTTAACATCCAACTCAACCTGTCACTAATTTTTAATGAAAAATGACGAGTTCGGAACATAATCAATAGTCAGGTGACCATTTTGTAACTTTCAATAGTCAAGAGATTCAACAAAGTAGTATTCTATAGTCAAGAGGCCATTTGTATACTTTAGCCTTGTTTTTCTAACCAAAATTTGAGTTTAGCGCATATAATATCTTGACTACAATCTTATCCATTTCCTTGTAGTTCTAAGAATAGTAAGGTTACGGAGAACATTATAAACAAACAACAAGTATTCACTTGTACAAAGTTATCAAATAAGTTGTTTCTAGGAAAGCAAGAGTTTCTCTCCTAAGAAAGAACTTACGACTGTGGGTTTTCTGAGAATTCCATCCTTCATCCTTTGTAGCAGATCTACACATTCTTCCTGTTAACACAACGCTATGCAACTAAGGGTACAATGCGGGAACTAACCAAAAATCACAGAAATAGCATACAGGACAAAAATATATCTGTAGAATCAATATAGGATGGAAATATCAACAGTACAATAGCATATAGAAACAGATATACTTGATGTGCACAAATACAAGGGAACATAATAGAGCTGCCACTTCAGTGTGATGTGAACCACCTCTAACAGAACTGATACATCATGAAAGCTCAAGCAGTTACCAGAAATCCGCATATCAAACAGGGTCAATCACGAAGATGAATGCATACGCACACAATTACAGTGCAAAAAAGAAGCAGTAATATCATGGGAAATTTACTCGATGCTGGTATCATCTAACTGCTTATAGAAAGCCAAGGAAACTCCCTCAGTAAATTTGGAAGAGTCAACATGCTTGAAGCGCACAGAAATATATTGCTGAAAATTATAATTGAAATAACTCTAATGCTACATTCGAGAACATGGATTTGAATATTTTCTATAGCTATTTCAGATTCACCACTAAATAGGCATGCAACGAATCCATGAAGTTGAAAAACATTAATGAACATTACATTTATATATATATATTTTGATAAAAGTTGGAGGTCTCGTTAAAAACTCCCTTCGTATTCTTCCACATACTTAGAAGTACGTTGAAGAACATTGGAAGGAAGAAAAGAATACCTCATATTTTATTAAATATAACACCCATTACATGTGAAAACACCGAATAGCCACATACGGGGAATATACACCATTACAAAAACCATATCACCTAAAAATCTATCATCGTCAACCACAAAGCCCCAAAGACAATAATCCTATTTCTAAAATACACCTCAAACAAAATGAAAAAACCAAACGCAAAAGATCATATCATAACAGAAAACCAACACTGTCAACAATGAAAACTGAACGAAACGCCTGTGCATAGAGCTCTGAAAAGTTACGATCCAATTGAAGGAACCAGTTCTAATGAATCATCGCGAACTTCAGGGACCCAAGAATTTGGTTTGAAGGAAGGATCAATTTCATGCACCCTGATTCTGAAGGAAATATGACCGACCTTCAACTCCAATGACTCATCAATTCTCACCTAGACTTTGTGAGTAATTGAATTTTAGCCCGATCAAAAGACGATGGAAACTCACAACTGTCGTCGATTGCTAATAATTTGCCCCACTTAGCTGCAATGTTTTTGAAAGTATCTCAATTCCAAGCGTGAAAAGGAATCCCTTCGCAAACTAACCACACTCGACGACATTCCACCACCAGACTCTCTGACTAAGTTTCAACTCTGGAAAACCATTGTGCAAGAGTCTCTAATTTTTCATTCTTCACAACTCTCGACGAAGTAGAGTCTTCAAAAACCATTAGAAGTACATTTCCAGTAGCTCTCATTAACGTGAAACCAGTGAGTTCTTTGGCTTGAATTTGGCTAGCAAGATCACCAATTTTGATAAAGCTCTTGCACCAACCCACCAGACAGTTACTCAACACGTGAAGTTTATCTTCGTCCACAACACCCTCAACTTCACAGTGATTAATCCTCGAAGCAACTTCCATCACGGACTTAAGTTGAACAACTGTTGAGGAGTCGAGCATTATATTTGGCTAAAGAGACCCTAATTTTGCTGCCGTAAATATGAGAACCATTCATAATGGAAATCGCCTTCATTCTTCAATTGTCGCGAAGCGAATGAACCCAAAACGAGCCCCTATAGAATTCCTTTTGTTAGGAATGAAGACATCAATTACATGATTGTGATCACAGAATAAAGATCCAAGTCTCTTCCGATGGATCTTCTTTAGTAAGTTTTCAATGAATAACGTGAAGCATCCACTTTTGAACCCATTCCTAACATTTGTATGACCTTTCTTCCACCAATTATTAAAATCGATTCTCCCCATTCTTGCTTCTTCACCAGATTTGTTACCAGAACACCCCTTTTTGGTTCTAGCGTGGACAACATCTTCGGGTAGTTGAGTTGTTGATGCCTCTGTTAAAGATAGATTTTCATTCCCATAATTCCCTCGTTGAGAAGGAGGCATACCTTCAGGCCTAGATTTATTAACCGCCTTTTTGCTGCCTAAAGAAGTCTCCTTATTCCCCGACGGAAATTCCATTCGGGATCTCCTTATAAACTTGTCGCGGATGAAACGATCACGGCTCCCATATCTGTCATTCCTTCTGTCTAAACGGTCCCTATTACCAAAGCGTCTGCCATCATAACGGTCATGTATGTACCGATCACGATCTCTGAAGCAATACCACGGTCATCAACGGCAGCACCTTTGTATCTTGAACGTGAAGAGAATAGGGCGCCACACCCACCTCGGCCACCACCAGCTGGAGGACAATCACGTGCCCAGTGCCCGAAGCGCCTACAATTGAAGCATTCATCATGTGCAACAGGACTATCTCCACCTGCATAGCGACCCCTGCGACTTGATGAGTAATTTCCTCTATAGCCATGATAAAGAGCTTTATTCACTGAGATTGTACGTTCTCCCAATTTTCGCCTATGCATCACCCTGATAGCTTCATCCAAGGACTAGAGATATGAAAATGTAATAAATCCAAATCCACGAGATAACCCTGTATCTCTCTGCACCATGATCTGAGATTCAGTAATTTTTCCGAACTGACTAAACACATCCTCAAGCTGTCGCTCGGTGACTTCCCATGATAATCCTCCGACAAATATTCGGTTCTCTTCTTTCCCTGCCATCCTTAACAAACAATTTTCCTTTCATCTTTGAAAACCTCTCTCTGGTTTGGCTTCGTGATAGGCTCCTGAAAATCAAAACCAAGACTAGAGGACGTGTTTTGCAGCCCCAAGAGCTTCTGTAAGTTCTAGAAAAGTGCTTCAACAAACAAAACCTCAAGCTCTACCCCACAATAACCTTGTAGTTTCGTCGGTCAACGGTTACCGTACGTGGCATGGCGTCTGTAGACTGTGACAGCGGAAGAGGAGAAGAGAAAATTTGGAAGAAAGGGTGACTTTCCTTGTCGAAACAGTTCACTGGAGAAAAGGACGGTGGGAGGCGGCGATAATCAGCAGTGAACTGCGAGTAGATCTGCACCGATTGAAATAATATATGGCAAATCTAAGTCCAGATTTGGAATCACTGTGAGCTGATGTTATTCCCAGGAAAAAACAGGATCAAACGGAGGTCGGAGTGTAGCGGCGGCAGCGGACGGCGGTCGGTGGCGGTGGACAACGGCTGGATGACGGTGGGTAAAATATTTTCAAAAAAACACCTAGGCTCGGGGCTCAAGAGAGAAGCGGGAGCTTCTCTCACATGCCAAAGTCAAAAAGTTCCAGCCTTATTTGTTCTATGATATATTATGCTATGTTTGAAATCCAAGTTCCCCAACACAATCTAAATGAACTTAATAAAAGGCCATACACAATCTGAAGAAAACGCTCAGTTGAAAGGATCAGTTTTCAAAACATGCAGAAAAAGATATGATTGTTCAGTCAAATTACCTTTTAATATGGGGCATATAAGAAGAATTCATCATTCTAGTGATTTCATCAACATTCGATATTTCAAAGGGGAAAAAAAAAAGAGAAGATAAAACTTCCCAGACATTTGTTACCTCTGAGATGTCATCGTCATCTAGCATGCTGATAGGAATATCAACTGGCATGCAAGAAACCTCAAGGAGAATCCCCTGGTTGTCGTCAGCATTTGAGGTTTTCTTTATGCCTGAGAAGTAAAGGGATTAAGACTAGCAAAAATTAACAGAATCTTGAATCATTAATGAAACAGAAATACTTATAGCTTAGGTTCGATGCAAATAAGGGTTAGATTGACTTTGGTGTAAAAGATTCTCCCTTTTCAAATAAAAGAATACCTGTAACTTGCTGAAGCTGAAAAGTTGTCCCTGAACGGTTTCCAGCCATTCCTTTCACTCTAATGAAACTTCCCACAACCTTTTCTTTGAAATTATCAGGCTGCGTCGACAGCTTCTCCACTAAGCTCCTCCTTAAGTAAACAAGTTTCATATTTTCTGCAACTATAGAAGCATAACAACTCTTACGGACTGCATATTCCACCTTTTTCTCAAGAGGTACTTCATCCAGGCTTGATGTTCTCTGCCTCTTGTATTCTGAGGTAATCCGTTTATTCTCATTCACCAAACGACTTCCACTATCATTCACCTTGCCATCCAAGATTGACAGTTCCAAAGTATCAGCAAAATGAGCTTTGAAAAGATCGCATATCTTATTCTTTTTCCCTGGTTTCTTCTGAAAAGAAGAATTAAAACTTTTCATCACAAAGTGTTCTTTACGAAAGAAGAGAAGGGGTTTTCTTTTGTCTAATTTTTTTTTTTTGATAGAATCTTTTGTCTAAAATTTATTTTGAGATTATTATATCTCCTTCACATTGCGATTATTTTCTCAGTTGTATCTATACCAACAGATTTCAGAATCTCAATGAGATGCTTTGAACCCCATCCAACAAATTCTCTTACCTGGGACTTCTTCTTTTACCAAATGAATCATCTGAAGCAGAAGTTGACTCTCTATCAACATCTGATATTGTGATTATAGCGTCTTTATCCTTAATCTTATCACAATCCAAGCCACTTTCATAGTTCTTCGTCTCAGACTGAGCATGACGCAAATCATCAAACTTCAACTCTTCTTGCTCCATTATTATCAATAAATAGTCTTTAAACATGAAATCAGAGGAATCTGTATCTTGAAAGTGTAGCTTATCCTGCACATACATCCAAGATTTCAATGGCTTGTCCCGTGAACAAAAAAGAGAGAGAAAGAGTCTGATTCACAGAGAAGACATGATACACATTTCCATCAATTTGTCAAAAAGCCTTTCAATATCATATGATATAGCATTTACAAAATTCAAAGAAAACATGATAAAGCCAAAGAGATGAAAAAATGTTGGTTATAAATCCATTATTCAGCTCATAAATTGAGTTGCATACCCCTTCAGAGTCAACTTCTGCATTCATTTCTGCAAGTAGTGAGAGCTCAAAACATGTTTTGCAAAGTCCTTTGTTCAACTTAACAGGCACAAACTCATAAGCCTTAACACAGAGCCTACAGACGGAATCGGGGCACATGAGGCAAAAATACCGTGGGGGACCACCGCATTCAGCACAAGAATGCCTGGCTGGAAACACAAATAATTGAGTCCAAAATTATAAAGTCAGTCTTAAAGGAATTCAATAGATTATAAAAGAGCAATCACGAATCACAAATACAGCTAGCAACTGTTGGCAACGAGGAAGAAAACACCGCTTAAGCTATTGAAAATTGTTCATGACAATAAAATAAATACCAACAGCTGAATCGGGAGTACTGTACAACTAGCTCAAAATTATTTTTTGAAGTTAAAGAGACTTACGGCAGGTCCAGCGACCTTCAGACTTCAATACTGAATTTCTCTTACCAACACATGTGGGATGATAAACTTTTCCACAGCCCCTGGAAACAGAGAACAAAGGGTTAATACTCACTTACATTTCTGGAGAAATAAAAATAAGCATCTTAATATAGGCATCTCAGATTCGAGGTGACTGTCCAAAATATGTATTTTCTCAACATGAATATGCTCATTTTTTTCATATATTTGGGGGTTATGCCCCATAGTCCATACCATGGGTTAATTAGGAAACATGAGACTCGAATAACATAGATTATTTATGACCAAAATGCCAAATTTGAAACCTGGGTAATAGAACAACATGCAACTTATTGTACTTATATGAAGTATTCAAACTGAATAAAAAATCCAGAAGCCATTAAAATTCAACTTACTAAATGAAATATATATGCACATACATTCAAGAATTCAGCAAAGTAAGCACTTAAACAAAGCTTTCTAACAGTCAATAGACCGCATGCTTCTTAAATGTTTCCTAAGCTGTCAACGACAAATATCAAACAGTACATTTTATTCATACATAACGAAAATGCCATCAACAATACCACATTAACAATTACACTTAATTTTTTTCCTTTGTCCTTCTTTGTTTTTCTCTTCTTATAGCATGTCCTAATCCCCCCCTTTTTTTATCTTTTTGAACTTTTCCCTTTCTTTTCCACTATTTATCCATTTCAACTTACAAATCAAGATAATTCAAACCGGCAGTTTACTCGGAACAAACAAGAAAAACAAAAATCATAGTTCAAAAGCAAAAGAAAAACCCTAATATTACTCACAAAACCAACAAAAGGAAATGAAGGAAGAAAAGAAAAGAAAAACTCACTTGTGATCACAAAGCAGCAACTTCCCACCATCTTTACAAACAAAGCACCAATCTTCGCCTTCAGCTTCTTCATTCAGTTTTTGCTTCCCTTTGTCTTTGCTCATTTCAAAAAGAAAGAAAGAAAAAAAAACCTTTTTTCCCCTATGTTTATTGCACGTTGAAGCTTAATAGGTAGTGGCAGTCTGGCAGAGAGTGTTAAAAAGCAATCTTGATCTTTGCGAAACCAGAGTAAGAAAGCAAAGTAAAGTAGTAGAATTATTATCATCTAGTACGGCGGTAAGGTTAGAAAACTTTATGCAGTTGTCGTATATAACAATAATAACGATTATTTTTTATTAATCACAAGTGTTCAAATTATATTTAAGTTAATTTTAAATATTTAAAGAATTTTTTATAATTATTTTGGTACATCATAAATTTTAAGAATTGATCTTTATTATCACTCTTATTTTATTCAATATATTTTAATTTAATAACTAAATTTTACCATTAATTTTTGTCACTTTTATTGATTTTTTTTCCAATTTTAACTTTCTTATAAATTAACGAGTGAGTAAAATGCAGTGGTAAAATAAGGGCGATAAAAAAATTATGTTATTAAAATTATAATCTACCTTAATTTTTTTAGAATTGATTATGTATTGTTAAACTTCTTTTAAAGAATAATTTCAATACGTAAGTTTGATGTATTTATAGATTATTACTTTAATTTATTTATAGATTGTTACTTTGAAGTTTAGGTTATAGAATTATTTCACACACTATTTTAATATTTTTTTTGTTAAATTTATAATTTATGTTTATATTTAGCTCTATATAGTATTATCATATTTTACATATATTTTTTAAAAAATAAGACAAAAATTCTGACAAACTTAACGAACAACGAATCGAAGAATGAGTTAAAATTCGTTGAGTTTAAGGAAATGGCACTCATTAAAATAAATTGGTTTTCTAAAAATATAATAGTACAAATATGAAATATGAATGAAACCAAAATAGTAAAGACAAAGGCCTCTTATTATATAGAGATAATTATACTGCGGTGTAATTAGAGAAATGGATCATCAATCTGTTCAAGGTTTCAGGATAGAACTTTCTTGCAAACAAATAGCAGGGTCTCTTCATTGAATTCCAAAAGCATGGCCCACTTAATACTCCTCCCTGCACCAACACACGTCTATTTTTCTTCCAAAAATGTTGTGTGCAGACATAATTCATAACAAAAAGAAAAACGAAATAAAGAAGTTTTGTACCTTGCGATCGCTTCTGAAATGTATGCTCTCCTCAATAAACTGCACAGTCAGATTTCAAAGTTTATGGCAACAAATCGGACTTTTATTTGCGTACTTAGATATGTATGTATGTGGGGATATACCGTAAGGTTTTTGAGGAAGTCAAACGTTATATCTTGGGCCCCAAATGTTCTAGGATGCCACTTCCCTTCAGACCAATCTACGTATGTGACTGATCTATTTGCGATTCCACTAGGATCAATCATCTATAATATACAAAATGGGATTCACAACTACCAAGCAAAGCTTAAAAGAATGGCATAGAAGAAACAAGCATGAGATACCGACGTTAAAAAGGGTTGGCAAGTAGTGCTCGTCCGCATAGCAATTGCGCCCATTCATATTTGGCTGACACAACATGAGATTTATGTTAATGAAGCAACACCCATCATATAAACAAAATATGAAAAAAGTATCGTGAGTTGATAACGGAGACGGGCAATAATATGGGATCACAAAATAGCTATGGTGGGTAGATTACCTTGCAGTAATGCTTGAATTTTCTGTAATATAAGTTGTCCGTCATAACTATTATAGCATGTTGACGCTTCATGGTGAACCACTGAAATTAAAAATGAATCAAAACCTGATGTATGGGAAACATCATTGTCGTGTTTTATTCTTATTATTGACAACAACACATGATAAGAGAGAGAGAAGCTAAAAGCCTTGGTGCTATGGTAAAAGGGTATACCTGTGAACCTTTCCGGAAAGCATTCTTCTCAACTTCGGGCATCATACGCTCTGAATACCTCCCGGTTCCATGTGGACCGTGATCAACAAAACTGATCAAAGGTGGAGTGTTTATATTCTTATTATGACAACAACACATGATAAGAGACTCTAAACAGAATATGCTTACCAGTCAATAAAGCTGATATTAGTGAGCATCAGGTAATTGTAAACATAGTCAAAGTTGTGAAGTGGTACGCAACTGCAGGAGAAGGTAAAAGGGAGAAAAGTTTAGATAAGAAGAATGTATGAAGAGAATGTTATGAAATGTGATGCCTTGGCTACCTATCAGAAAGCAACACAAACTGCTGGTTATCAGCATCTAAGAGAGAATGTGCCAACAGCCTCCTCTCGATATATATCATGGGAATTTTCCCCCAAACCACCTGCATTGACCTGCTTTTTAGGACGCATTATATAGTATTTTTCAAGCAGCTGTTTGAAGTTAATGATGGAAAATAATTAAAATAAAGAATGTGGAAGAGAATTTGGGGAACAAAAGGGGCATCGCCAAAACAAAAATTGCACGTACCCGCCCATCCTTTAAAATTTTCCTCTTCCTTTTCCCTTCTTTGCGCTTGGGAACCTTTAAGTAGGAAGAAGATTTAAAAAGAAATTAATGTATTTCAGCCAAATAGTAGGGATGGGAAAGAAGTAAAGAATTTTAACAAGACAAAAATTCCTTGATGAATCTCTCTACTTTCTTACTTTCACCTACCGTTTCACTATGAAAGTCTCGACCAATAAAATAACGACTTGTGTGTACTGGCTTTTCTCTGGAAGTATGTACATAAACAGAGAATCTACCCTCATGACCCTGCAGGAAGATGTTAATAATTAATACATGCAAATGAGAAGTTTCATAATTTATGCAAATATTAACGATCTAGGAACAAAGTCTTACACGAAAGAAGTTATCCCAAAGTGGCTCAAAATGTAGCGTTCCTGAAGTCAAAAACAGGAAAGCAATTTTTGGATTCTTGGATTGGATAGGAGTTGTCCTGAGGATTTCCCTAATTACAACATGAGATCTTGTCTCTTCATCACTTAACTCCCTGGCAGCAATTACTGATGGCTGGTTGAACGAAGTACAATCTCTAGAAGAAAAGATATAGCAGGCTGCGGATGTCGTTGGAGCGTAGATAAAGGCAGTTATCAAGAATATGATTGCAAATGTTACCAATACAATAATCCACACCGGTCTCTTTAGACGAGATCGCTGCCTTGAACCTGACACGAGAAGGATATCTTTTATACGGCGCTGCCATGCACGAGTTGACTTCATTGCATCACTCAGTTTCCTTATCCTACCGTATTACTGCATCACTGTGGAAGGGAAAAGACCACTAATGAAAGCAGATCAGTGTACTGGAATCCCTACATAATCTGAAAAGGGAAAGAAATAGAGCATCAAAGTGATGGTACAAGCAAGCCTACCTAAACCTAAAAAATATTGGATGTAATGCAGGGCCAGTCGGGTTTTCTTTTTTCAACCACACACATCAGGTTCACAATACTGTAGATCAAGGGGACCTCAATCTTCAGTAAGCTCTTTCTGCAACCTTTGGGGTGAGGGTGGTTAGTAAGAAAAAATATAATGTAAAGTTTAGCGGCAAAGATCAAGCTCTATATTAGGAAAATGTTAAAGCGTTGATTGATAGAAATAATCCAAATGGGAAACAGGAGCCGATATTTGATACATAGCAGTGCTGTGTTTATTACAAAATTTCAGGAAGCGAAGTCTACCTATCAAGCTAATAGAAAAGGGAGATGCATGTGAAAATAAACAACTAAGCAAATAGAAGAGAATTATGGTTTCAAATACGAATTGAAGCGAAACAAAGAATCAGAATGGAGAAGAACAAAAGACAGAATGAGTGATAAATAAGCGTATTAGTTATAGAATCATAATACACTAGTACCCTGAATAATTAAAAAAATCATTCCTATTTTTTAACCTCTACCACATAAATAAACTCAAACATCACCCTTTTTTTTCTGTTATAACAACTTTCCGATTCTTTTCTATGCTCACTCTTCGCTTCACATTACACTTGTGTCAACCATATTTGTAACATTGAAAAGCATTAACCGGTCTACTACATACTTAATTATTTATGACGTTCTTTCTTTTTTAAGGAAATTATTTATGCTGTTAAATTGATAGTTTTAGTTTGCAATTGTTTTAGTTTTATTCACTATCTTTTATATTTTGTAAAATAAAAACTATTTTCCAACTATGCCAACTTGATCAAACAAATTTCATTATATGATTGTACAATTTCTTAATGGAGTAAGCACAAATAAAATTTCAGAAATATTTTCAAGGTAGAAACATACGAGTAAAATATGTTAACACATTTCTGATGGAAGTAAAAAATAAATTCACAAGGTTTTGAACATCAATTCCTTTATTTCAAAAAGAATCTTAAAATGCCATCATTTCATGGGATAAATACATCATATTCATATGTTTCGAGGGGTGAGGGCGAAACCCAGTATAGTAGATGTGCATATAATGTATGGCTACTAAAATTTTTGCATGCGATTGTGATTTTAATTTGGAAACTAATACTTGATGTTCAGATTCAGCAAAGATACAAAAAGGCAACTAGCTACTTGCGTTTCTTTTTTGAAGGATCATCCCTGGTGCAGGCAAGTGCTGAACCAGCAGTACCGGTGAAACCCTAAAGATTTCGCTCCGGAAAAAAAAACTCTCTACGTGGTACTTAGATTAAGACAGATGTATTGGGTTAGAAATAGAAGGGTTGGGCCTTCTAGTTATCTCGCCGTCCTCTCAGACTTTATTGTTGATGGAAAAACTAGGAGTCCATTGCAACAGCTTTGGGAAGCAGAAGCAATTGAGTTGAAGGGGAGTAAGTTTGGGTTTGGGACCTAAGTGGTTTCTTCCGAGGAGATCCTGCTAACTGCTTCTCCTTGGAAACTCCTTTCCCCATTGTTCCAAGCACCTTCCTCACTTCATTTGCCAGCTCTATAACCATGTCATCCTCATGACCTGTTTAACACAAACAAATCCCATTTCTTTTCTCAAATACTCATTCAAATTCCACATTATTTTCTTAATACGTTGTATCCATGGTCTGTTTCCAGGAGAAAAAAGACTCACCTATATCATACATGGCCTTCTCCAGCAGAAAAAGATAATCTCTGTTGTTTCCACATGGTCCAACAGCAGTTGCAATTTGCCTGAAAATCTAACATCCATTAACATAAAAACTTGCATCGAAAGGTCAAAATGGAAGGAACAGAATATTACATTGCCATCTCCTCCAATGGCGCAGGCCCCAGGTAATACTTGTTTGAAACTTTGTCTGGGGTGGATGTGAAACTGCATGTTTAACATATCTGTTAAGAAAATTATGCACAAAGCAACTTCTGTAATTGAAAAAATTATGTGATGGGAATTTAGAAGCATGGGTAACTTACACAATAATTCCTGTTAGAGCAGGCTGCAGGGGATCTGCTTCCTGATTGAAAGCAATCATATATAAACATAAGTACTGAAAAAAATAAAACACGGACAGAAAAGACAATAAAAAGAAAAACTCCCGTCTTATACCTTGTAGAAGTCAACTAGGTTCTTTTGATCATATTCACATTCTCTCCGCTCCAAGTACTACAAAATGAGGATAAAAAACAGAACATAAATTTCTCTCCGAGTAAAATGAATTTGAGTGAAACAATGCCTGAAATAATGAGGAATGTTAAGTGAAAGAAATACAGAAGTGTGAATTGTGATGCACAATACCTCCATTGCTGCTCTTTCCCTTTCAGGACTGCCACGAACACAATAAGCAGCACCCCACTGGAGAAATACTTCACAGTTAGCAAACAAAGAAAACGTGCAGCTCCTAACAATAAAAATAATAATTAGCAATAATAATCAACTACTACTTACACAAACGGCTCCTTCAATTTGTTCCAAGGTGCAAGTCCTTGCAGGATTTTCAGGTGTACCTCTATGATCAATGCATGCTGCAATACGAAATATCCAGGATTCATAACCAGTAAAACAAAACATACTGCAGAAATAATTATGTTGTTGTATATTGATAAATTACTTACCAAGGTCAAAAACACGCTTATAATCCTTGATGAAGCCTATGATTTTATCATCATACTCGAACCCAGGGTTCCATACCAGTGAACCGTAACCAAAAACCCAGAGAACCATGGTTATAGAGAATACCTGAAGGGGAAAAGGGTTGATAATGTTAATTCTTCGTGTTATCGTTTTGCTTGGGGCAAGGCAATGAGTTAGGATAAGCTGAAGTTTAAAAGAAAAGATGAGTAAAAAAATGCATTTGAACAAATGGTGTGAATGGGGGGAGGCCGGGATGCTCATGATAACAGTTAAATTGAAAAATGTAAGTTGTTTAAGAAAAGAGGGAAAAGGTAGGGCATTGTGGTTTAGGGGAAGAAGGAAAACATTATGAGAAATAATAATGCAAAAAAGAGGAAAGGACTTACAGTAAGATGGAAACGAAAGAGAGAAAGCGAGGAACGATGGCTGCAGGGGAGAAGCAGAGGAAGGTGGTCCTCTCTTTCACTCTTTCTTCCTAGATGCTGTAATTTGTTTTGTTTCTATAGATAGCTGCACCTGGGTATTTGTAGCTGCCCTCTCGATTTCCCAATTACGTTATCCGAGTTATGCCCTCCCTCCTGTCCACAACCACCCACCACCTCCTCCTCTGTATTGCTTTTATTATAGGAAAGCGTGAAAAATATGGAATTAGATTCATTGAACCTGGACAGTTCGGGGAACAGGCGGTCTCGTTTTCCCCATAACTGCAGAAATTAAGGTACGTTTGATTGATTTAGATTTTTTTTGTTTTGTTTAAAGTCTAAGAACGACAGCCTAAAGTTAAAAATGGCGACTTTGAGCCGTAATAAAAAATATGATAAATATCATAATATTTTAAAACGTAATTTAAATATTATATTTTTTATATTTTTAATTAAATCAAAAAAACTATTTTTTTATAATGTTTTTTTATTGACAAACTAAAATGTTATATTCTATATAATATTTTATGTTCAACTAAAAATGTTTATAAAAAAACATTTTAAGTTGCATTTAACATAAAATATTATAATTTTTATCGTATTTTAGATTGCGTGCCAAAATTATCTTTTTTTCCTTAAATTAGACTACCACATAATAAAAAATACCTGATTTTTTTAGGCAATGCCAACCAAATCTATTGTGAACCTTTGGATTCATTGAATCTAGACGATATATTTATTACATGAAATTAAAAGAAAAAATAAACAGCGAACAGTTAAGATCAGGACTGGCTTATTGACCAAAACTGTTGCCACCAGGTAGGAATTCAACTTTCAACAATTGGAAGCTGACTTTGAATGTTCAAGTTCAGACTTCAAAGCTCAAACTATATATATGGGCCGATGATCAATTAGGTCAAATTCAAAGGGAGGCCTAGCCCTGGCCTATCATGTTAAATTAGAAATACATTTTGCTCCTAAGCCAATGGATTTCTTTGAATTCTATGTATGCAACAACTGAAATTAAATAGAAGCTCGATAGAAAAGAAAATTTATCTAAACTATACCATTTTTCTCATTTAAGTGCTTAAATTATTTTTTGATAAATCTAAGTGCCTTGTGGCTGTTGGTTTCAGCCAGTCAAATCAAAAGCCATAGAAAATCCAAACCAAAGGATTGTCTTGTATACTAGTAGATCAGTAGCTAGGCGAAGTTATAAGGGGAAAGTGTTTTTCCGATAGCAAAACAAAGGTCCAACACCAAAACAAAACACAGAAAAATAGGATATATAGACCACACACCATTTAATTTCACACGATTAAAAATCCCACAAATTGCTACACAGCACATTAGTTAATATAGACACTTCCCAGGAAGATAGTTGGGGGAGGGGGTCCAAAACCTATCATTAGGGTACAAACCCAACATCCTTCAAGTATTCATGCTGAAGAGCACTTCTTGCCGTAATTCTTTTGCTGGGATCCATGCACAGCATTTTCTGGATGATAATAGACACGATGTATCATCAGTTCAAATTGCAGAGAAGCCATATATGGTTATTAATTTCTGTCTTATTCCAAAATCATTATCCAAGTGGGGACATTTCAAAGACCATCAAAACTCACTCCATTTCAGGAAAATGGCTGCTCTTAAATCAGAAAAACAACTTTTACAAATTTTACTAAGATCAGCCACGGTTAAGATGATAATCACCAACATACACAGAGAACTGAGATAAAAGTTCAAAGTCATTCATGTCTACACTAAAGCTCAAGATTATCTTATGTAATTGCCATGTACCTTTTGCCCACAAGTCCACAACTATGAGAACTGTGAAAGATCCTTTATCTTAAATTAATGCCACTTTGATACTTGCTAGTTCACATGGAAAGGTAAAGCAAAAAAAAAAAAGCCAAATAAACACTTACAGAAAGAAGGTCAATGCCACTGGATTCAAGATTTGGAGCAACAGATGCCAAATCCTGCAAGTAAAAGGTGCATCAATTAGTTCAAACAAAATTTTCTCTCTAATAGGTTCACAACAAAACATACAGCCTCTAGATGTCATAAACACAATTTTACCTGAGACGGCCACTTCGGAAAAGCAGACTTAAAATCAGGCAATGAAGTCACTCCAGGCCATGTATCCTCATTTGGAGTACCCAAGATTCTTCACAGAATATGAATAATAATAATATTAGCAGATCAGTCTAAAATGAATGCACAAGATTTTGGGAGTGAATTTGCATGGATATCTACAAGCAACATCTAGAAGGCAATTCTTTTATGTTGAACGACCAAAAAGTGCCCCATTTTCTTTGAACATGCATGTATAAAGGCTAGTAAAAAAAATACATTTATAAAGGATTCTGCGGGAATATGGACAACTTAAATACTGATAAAGAGCCCTGATAGGCCCATTCCCAAGGAGGATATTAAAACAATAAATGAATCCAATTGTCAAAATAAGAATTTCTGACAGGATCCATGCTTTCTAATGCCAAAAAGCACTTATTCGAAACAAACATTCATGGTTATGACTCACGGTAATGCATTGTCTTCTGCAGGTTAAGAAGGCATGAAATGTCAGAAGAGTAAAACTGTAAGACTTATTCGAAAGGGTACTATAAAATTTGGCCCTGTACCACTTTTCAAGATTTGGAACCTAAAGAAAAAAAAAATTCAGGATTAGGCACCCCAACTTCCATTCCGTCAAGCATTTTGCACCACTGACTAACAATATTAGTCGAAATGCTGGTATGGCAATATTGACCAATAAAAATGTGGCATGTGTTATTTTTCCTTAAATTTTTAAGAAAAAATTCAAAAGACAAAAAAAAAACTTGATTTTAAAAATCAAAAAGAAAATTCCAAAAAAAAGAAGATAAATGGAGTATATGCATAAATTATACTATAAATGTTATTAGTAACGACTTAAGCAAATAAAACCCATGAATCACTATGGCACTGCAAATGGATTGTAAAGAAGCTAAAATTTTAAGACCCTTATGCATTAAAGTCGTGCTGCTAAAAACATTCCTAGTTGTCGCATTTTTTTTTTATAAGAATTGAAACCCCTTTCATGATCAAAGGAGCTCGTAAAGAAGCTCCATAAATCAGCGGAAGGAGGAAAAGAGTGTCTTAAAATTTCATTAAACATAAAGAAAATTACAATAGAGATACAACACACCAGACACCCTTTAAGGGGATTAGAAACCGTAAGACAACCGTAAACATAAACACAGAAATCAGCCTATTCCAGCCTTAGCTAATGCATCAGCCTCTTCGTTAGCTGTCCTAGCAACCCATCTAACAACACTCTCAGAAGCTCTAAGCCTATCAACTATGTCATTAACAATAAAAGCATACACATGAGGACATAAATCAACATTCTTAATCCAATCCACAGCCACCCTGCTATCACTCTCGATAATCAACCGATCCTTTACAATCCCCTGAAAGGAGACAAAAAAGGATAAACCCCTTTGAATAGCTTTAAGCTCCATCAATGTAGGAGGACCAGAACCAGAAGACTCCTTGAAAGAGCCTAATATCATTCCAGAATGATCTCTTAAGATGACACCAAGACCGCTCTTCTTCCAATCGCAACTAGTTGCAGCATCAACATTCAATTTGAGGAAGCCCTTCGGAGGAGGTAACCAAGGGATCTTAGATGAAATCACTTTATTGTAAGATCAACTAGTTGTCGCATTGTTAAGATTGAGCACCAGCAATGCTCAAAAACTGGCTTATGCAAAACTTCCATGCATATGATGAATGCAACCAATCTCATAAATTGAAGTATAAAGAAACTGGAGAGAATATATAGGTGGTAGTTAGTTGAACAAGTACATTGAATATTTCTTGTTATCAAGGGCACTAGGCACACTTAAGGTGCAAAGTCCTACATAGCCTGAGGCGCAAGGCTCAGAAAAAGGGCTCACATGAATGATACAAATACTTAAATAATCAAGACTACCAAAACTAAACTAAAACAGTCCGTCTAGCTAAGTTTCTCTTTTCTCGTTTTGCAAGCCAAAAACATTCAAAAGACAGTTTACCCCTTATTATCCAAAACCCAAATTTAGTGTTTATGCGGACATTGGACAAAATGACAAGAATATTTAAATAATATTTTTTCCCAATATATGAAGAGCAGAACGAATGAGTAAGAATAATATAAAAGAACAGAAAAATAGAAACTAAACCTTGATGAACCTGAACACACACACACAAATATTGGGGGGTGTTCAAGCCACTATGCAAACGAATTATGAATTTAAGAACAGCCTGTCTTCATTTCAGATTCATAATTAGACAATATCCTAAATCATTTTTTGAATGACATAAACCTTCCTTCCAGATTATCTGAGCAAAGACATTTAGAGAATGCACTAAAGGTGAAAAAGAAAGATACGAAATGACTAAATCAGAAATAAAAAACTTTACCAATTCAGCAAATGAAACTAAAATAAAATGAAGCTACAACTGTGGTAAGGAGGGTACAACACCTGAAGATCTTGAATAGTTCATCAATCTCAGAATCCCCAGGAAATAATGGTCGTTGGTTCACCATCTCAGCAAAAATGCAGCCCACAGACCACACATCAACAGGAGTCGAGTAATGGCGAGATCCAAGCAGTATTTCGGGTGCTCTGTACCACAGGGTAACAACCTAGAGATAACGTCAACCTTAGAAGCCAAGCTAATATTGGTATGCTTATGTACTGAAAATATTGAGCTTGCAGATAATAGCCACACACTTTTCTTCTAAACATTAGAATATATCCAAATAAAAACCAATTCACTTATGCTCTAAAGGGACCTAAAGTTGCATTTGAGACCCCAAGTAACAATAATCCTAAATTAATGTCGTCAGAAATAGAACGAAATAATTTTATCCTACAAAATGCAAAGCAAACTGAAGTTTCTTTGTTCCAACTTGTAATTGTTATGTATAAAAAGAGGATGAAACATTATTTTCAAGAGTTAATCAGCAAATGCCTAGAAAAATACAACAACCATTAACCATATGACATTGAACAGCCAAAAACCTCAAACATGATGATTCTTGATACCTCATGTGTAAATGTTCTAACAGGAATACCAAATGCTCGGGCCAGACCAAAATCAGCAAGCTTCAG